AAAACGCAACAATGTCACAAATCCAGACACAGAAAACAAAAAAAAAGGATCTTAAAATAGTGGATCTTATAAATGGTGGGAGCTGATGGAAAATGTGTGGCTTCTGTCTTTTCTTTCTTTTCAGGTTGAACTCTATGTTCTCTCACGGCTGCTCTCATCAGAGAGATGATTGCTGATTCTGTCTGGCTTCAGTTTCAAAGCGCTGCTTAAATGGGCTCCCACAAAGACAGAAGCATGGCCTTCAACCTCACACACCTCTCCACTCTGCCACATGCCTCTTTCACTCTCACTCTCTTTGTCTATTCCTCCCTTCCTTCCTGCTCGAAATACTAGTGCCAGGTCTGAGCCTTTAGCCCTGCTGAACACATGAACACAAACACATACTGGTGGCCAGACCTAGGTCACTGTGTGCAGGGCTAGAGTTGAGGCGTTGGCTACAATCATTAGACATAGTACGGCTTACACATTCTGGTTAGCAGCAGTTGTGTCAAAAGACCGTTCCATGCTTTTATACAGTGTCAGAACATGGGGTCATATGCATGCCCCTATATGTAATAAAATCCATATAGCACTATTACATACATGCCTGTATATAGTAAACAATTTCTAGGCCTAACCCTAAACCTAACCCTAACCTTAACCTTGGTCACCAAAGGTTTCTTTCAGTTAAACATAAGTAAAGAAAGAAAGAAATTGAACCAGCCTGCTGAACTTAAGGTTACAACAATGACAACTGTCTTTTTTTATTGGTCACAACTTCATTCACAGTTTAATGTGGATGAAGTTGTGACCAATCATTTACCAATCATTAACAGCTAAAAAAAAGTCCTACTAATAACTTTGCTAGTTGTTTCTAATTTTTTGTGCCTTTGCTCATTGACGTTAATGAAAGCTAACAAACAGCAAACAAAATATTTGCAAAAGCATCATGAATAACACCTATTTGTGAGATATACAGTGGCCTCAAAATGCAGCTGAGTACTTGCTCCACACAATGTATTAAGTTAACTATGCTAGGAAACAAAATGTTAAACCAAGTGACATTTATTTTAAACTGATCATTTCCAAGAATGTAATTTACTTTTCACAAAAGTGTTCCTTCAAAAAGCAGGTGATGTGTTTCAGATTGTTATTGTTTGAGCTCTTTTTTGCTTTCTTTTCTGCTGCAAGTCTCCTTCTAAAATGCCCTTTTACACTTTTGAGTTCATGATCCTGCCAATGAACAGAAGCTCACTGACACCACTGTAAGAAAAATAGAAAAATTCCACCTCTGTGCTTCACAATGTCCTTAGTACAGTCTGGCTGGAATTCTCTGGGTTTTCTCAACACAAAGAATCTACCACTTGTTGATAATGTGTGATACGCAGCAAATATTATTTTGTCAAATATTTTATGAACTAATCTAAAGAACTTAATTAAAGTCCACCAATGAGTAAAATGTCCAAGTACATTTGGGGCCAATAAAGATATAGCATATAAGATAATACATGTCATTTGTAAACTCGCCATAAAAACAGTCTCTAATAATGTGCAACAGACATTAGCCACTTGGAACAAGTTTGTCCTTTCTAATTATTAAAGCACAAAGATAAAAAGGTTAAAGAGTTCAACAAATAAGTTAAAACAATGGTGTTTTCCTTCTATGTTTGGTTTCGGTTCTCCTTTTCTTGTGTAATTCCACTGTCACGACAGACATCCAAAAAGCTGTGAGTGACTGAAGGCATTCGGGAGCAGACATGTTGATTTGTTCCTGTTTACGGGTCATGTGACGGTTTAAGAAGCTTTCTCTCCTGGAGCACAGGTGAGCTCAGCCTGCCTTTGATCTCCCCGCTCTGTTTGTGTTAGCAGGGTGGAACTATGTTTCTCTGGGTCACAGATGTTCATGGGAAGTGAAAGGTGAGTGCGCCCGTAGACATCAGGCATGCCACAGTGAAATACACCCTTCAGCCACAGAGCAGAGGATTAGGGGAGCAGATCACTGGTAAATAACAGCAGGGCCCCAAGCACCCAAAGTCAGTTGGTAGAGAGGGGGATGTGAAATATGTACACACACACTTGGGAAATACCTGAGAGTCTTTCGAGGACAGCAAACCAGTAAGACAGGTACCTGAGGCAGAATCCTCTCCAAAGCTTGGACAGGTGTGAAGCATTACAGACAGGGGGAGAGAGAGAAAGAGAGAGAGATCTGCACTACATCAACTCAAAGCTCCTTCTCAATACAGTAAGGCTATCCACCAGTATGGCCCAAAATCAGACACTGATCAACCATTTTGAAGTACAGAATATATAGCAGTAGTTTCATAGTAGTTGCCAAATAATTCACAGTAGTTAAACAAAGTGCACAGTCCTAAGATTAATAACTGAATAAGAAGCCTGTAGTTTATGGGTTAAAAGACAGAACTGCCCAGATTTTACATTGCTGCATGTGCAAGGTTCTAGAAATGTTTGATTAGAAACACAATGTTAACTCACAACATCAACACTTTTCAACACTGAAAAAAGTAGTGCACTGAATTTACTTGATTCAAATATGAACATCACTGGCACATGAATAAAATATATTACAGCAACACAACTTTGTATTTTTTATTTACTTACATTTGGCTATAATTATGTTCATGTAATATATTTTATTCATGTGAAAATGTGCATTACCTATTTCAGTGCATCTTAAGAACTACTTCGATTTTTTTTTAGTGCTAACCTCTTGCTAAACTCTGGGGGCTACCCGTGCGCATATATATATGTGTGTGTGTGTGTGTATATATATATATATATATATATATATATATATATACACAGTGTTACTGAAACACCTTCAAAAGACGTACAGCCCTTTAGAGGTACATTTGATATTTATGCACATAATGTAACTCTGAAACTAGTTAAAACAAAGTTAGCAAATAATGTACAGTTCTTATGTCTTAGTACAACTGGCATGCCCCAACTCCATATTTCACGAACAGTCACCAGATATTATGAGCATATCTATCATCTGCTATGTCTACATCACAGAAAACACATTGCATACATTCTGAATTGCTGTGACATCACCCTGATGGAGAGCAAATGGAAGATGAAGCCTCTTCTGCATCGCTTTTGCCACAGATTATACATGACACCCAAAACACAAAGGCCTTGATGGGGAAGCCATTCAAATGTATCAGATGAATCGTCAGGAAAAAGCCTACTCCTGGAACGAGGGAAAAAAAAGAGGGAGAATAGAAGAGGGCATGTGCTGTATGCAGAATGGCGGGAGTGTGAGCAATCTACATTTCAAATGCAGAGAGTGTTTTTTGCTGGATGTTTCTTTGAAAACATGGCTGCTGGGGAGGAGGGGGAGAGCAAAATGTAAGAGGATATGGCATCAAAGACCCTGCCGGAGAAAACAAAACAACAGCACAGGAAGAGAGGAGCGGAGGATGAATCGTTTTTCGTTGCTTCTGTAGCTTCAGCTCATTGCTCATTACTGGATACACAAGAGATGCACAAGCTCAAGATTAGGTCTCCTGTGCAGTTAAAGTGGGGACAGGTAGAAAGTGACCCACAGAAGACGAGAATCGAAGAGAAGAGAAGAGAAGAGAAGAGAAATGTACACCATTTCCACATGTATTAAATGTATTTATATCAATATAAATACTGCCAACATTGAAATACTAAATTATGTCATTGTATTGCCAAAGAAAATGTACCATGTCAAAATGTTTAATCATGATGCATATACTGCAATCCACTGCAATTATTTCTTTTTTCCGTGTACAAATACAAAACCATAGAAGGATAAGAATCAAAGATAATATTTACCTCCTTAAACCACAGGGGCCTGGAGGGCCCAAACCTCTTCACTCTTATAACTACATGTTTGTTTCACAGAAGTTATTGAAAAATGTATAGTAGTTACTGAATAGTTAGTCTTAAGATTAGCAACTGAATAATCTGTCTGCACTTTAAGGGGTTAAACTGAATCCTTGACTACTTTAGTTCTTGAGGAAAACACGTACACTTCCTAAAACATTAGTAATGTTAAAATACAGCATCCTGCATCCACACTGGTAGCTTACTGACTAAATCAAGTTTAATGCTAAATGCTATCTAAAGCTGTCAAATAATAAACGTATGTAACAAGTGAGAATGAAACAAAGAATGTTTACAAAATAAATTTTAATTGCATTTGCTGCAATTCTCTGGAGGTCATTTAAGCAAGACTGGCTGACATAAAATCTTTGACTCGTTTTCTCACATCAATTACAGGCCGTGCTGATAATGAGCGCTAAGAGTTCAAACTTCAGTTCAGGCATTTACTCTGATTGCTACACTACTGGCTTCAACTCATGTATATAATACAGTATACACCTTGAACAAGCACATTTGAGTAAATGTTTATCTGATGACCAGACAAAACAGGTTTTAATTGTCGTCCTGTTGAAGCCCTGCAAGCAGCAAAAAATCGATTGTCACATAAAGGCTGAGACATTTTCTAGCTAATCTAGTTTCTAAGCTGTTCCAATTCTGCCAAAGCTGACTACACATAAGGACTCGAAGAGGTCAAATATTGCTTGTGAAAAGCACTGGCAGTAGCCACGGTGCTGAGACCTGCATTTCAGTATTATGCAGTCGTAGCAGCTCTTCCAGCAAGAGCTGATGTCGGAATCACTCTGTCCTTATTACACTCAATCAATATACCTTTAGTCTCTCTGCTTATTGACTCATTTCACAATAAAATTACAGATAATTTGTCTTGTCGTGGACGCTGTATTACTCCAGTTTTTCCATTCTCTGAATGGGAAAGGGAGGGGGGCGAGAAAGAGAGAGAGAGAGAGAGAGAGAGAGAGAGAGAGAGTAAAAAGAGAGAGAAGAAAAATTAGAAGGTAGAAGAGAGAACAAAGTAAGAGAAAAAAGAAACAAAGAAAAGAGAGACTTAGAGAGAACAAAGTAAGAGAAAAAAGCAGGAAACAGAGTCAGAGAGAGGAGTGAGAGAAAGACAGAGACAGTGAGAGAGAGGGATGATGAAGGAGAAAGAGACACAAAATAGATGAAAAGAAATACTAATGGTAATACTGTCCTGTGGTTACAACTGTATTTTTTTTTTGAAGGTTGGAAGGGAATCATTTAAAAAATCGATGCCTGCTTCCTATAGTTCACCTCTAACAAATCAATCATAATCTTAACCAGCTGGCAGGAGAGGGAGGAGGTGTGCAATCTTTGTCTGAAATCTCTAATTTCTGAATCCATTCTCATAACAGGGCCATCATCTGATCGTTTAGCTAGGCTAACGGCATGCCCTCTCTCCAGGGGCCCTGTGGAGACACAGCGGGTGTGCAGGAAGCCCCCAGTAAAGGGAAACAGGGGCCTCCGTCTACCTCTGCTGGTGAAGGAGTGCTTTAAACATTGATTGCAGAGGAAAAAACCTATCTTGATGAAAAACAGAGTTGATTAAATCTGATAGAGTTTCCAAACTGTGATTTTTGCAGGCCTCACACCCGTCCATAGAGAAAGGACTAATCAAAATATCACAGAGTTGCCCTTTAATGATTATGGCTTAAGTAGCATTAACAGTCTAGTGTTTTTTTTTTTTTTTTAAAGGGGAGGTGGTAAGAAATACAAACATTCAAAGCCTTGGCAGGTGGGGATTGCCCTTCTAGCATTTGACCTTCTGAGCTGTTGCTTAGATTTGATAATGCTTAGATGGAAAAGTATATAATATATAGATCACGTAATAATAAAAGTATGAGAAATGTACACATACTAAGAATGTATTTAAAGGGTTATTTATAGTAAGACACTACTGCAGTACATTATTTATCATCACATGTTTATTGTACTGGAATAAATGCTACTATGCAGTATGCATGTGTCATCATCAGGCCTTATACCCAAAGCTTTCATTTGATTTAAAGCAGGAACTACTAAATGAGAAATCAAGATTATCCATGATTACAATTTGACAAACAAACTTTAATAATCATCTTTACCAACAATATTTACATGTGGTAAATCACAATGGTAATGTTAAATAAAGAAAAATATATGACGAAAGCACATGTATACATAACACTACGATGCAGTGCCTCACCTTGTGGCTGTTTTATGCTGGAGCTGAGTTGAGTATAATTCCAAGGCATTGAAAACTGAAAGGATAAACATATGCATGAAAGAATGCCCAAATGAATTAGTGTACAATTTTGGAAGTAAAAAAAAAAAAAGAGATTAAATTCACATTTTTAGCATGTTCTGTTTGAAATGGTCTAAACCTGGCAATCCATTAATGCAGTCTAGTGGGCCATTAACCCTGAGAGTGCTTTCCCTGATCTAAGCCACCTCATTCAACTCACCAGCAAATTACCAAGTCCTTTATGGGTTGAATTAGGTGTGGTAAAGCAGAGAGAACTCAAATCCGAGCAATGCTTCTGGGCACCCCAAATTTAAGAGGTGGCTTAATTTAAGAACATTTGTTGTACATTAAATAAACATCAATTAAATAACTGAATAACAATAATAACAATAAAGTGGCAGAAGTATCAACTGAAACAAAGACAACAAAAACATTAACAAATATATAATAATAATAATAATAATAATAATAATAATAATAATTATTATTATTATTATTATTATTATTATTATTATGGTTATTATTATTATTATTATTATTATTATTATTATAGCCTCTTGCAGCTCGTGTTTAATCATTTAATAAAACTGCAAGGTCAAAACTAAATCACATCCATTATTTGCCGCGGATCTCCCCAAAGCATTGGAGGCGGACTGTTTTGAATTTCAATTGGCTTCGAAGTGGCAAAAAGCCCTCAGCTAATACATCAAAGAATATTTGCCATCCTCTAATCGGTTTAGAGCAGGTTTAGAGCGCCTAAGATCCGCGTGAGGGGGGCCGGGAAGCGGTGGGCTACCGCAGCCTGCCGCTGCTGCTTTCCACCAGCACCTCTCAGCCTGCGCCTCCAGCAAACCTGTCAAAGCCTCTCCAACTTCATTTAACCCACATCTGCGTGGACGCGCGAGGCAATTGAACCGGCGCTAAATAGAAGAGAATATAATGCTGTCTAATAATAGTTTTCAAAATCCAAATTTGATTAGGCTACTTCTCCCCGAGGCACTTTGGAAGCCGCGCTTTAAAGAGAAAATAACGTTCTCGCCTCTGCTTTCTTTTTAAACATCCTCGTTTTTTAACTACGCTATTTTGACAGACAAGAGCAAATTAAAAAAATAAATAAATAAATAATTAATGGGATGATTTCAGCCGCGTGCCAGGCATGTGTCCATCTTCCACATTTTACTGAACACTTAAAGAGTGGCGGCTTCTTTTTTAAGAATTAGCCTCCCAGGCTAACATGACAGATTCACTCAGACTAATTAGCCTAAACGTGTAAAAGCAGCTTAGCCACACGGAGTTAGATAGTCAAGCGCTTTGTTTCTGAAGTAGCCTACAGTTGACGAAAAACTGAAACGCCACGCACACTTTCACAATTTCATGCTCAAATGAAGTCGATTTGGTCTGATACAGCTGTACGATAGTCTACAAGTGAGCTGAGACTGTGGAAGTGAAGGCTGCCTTTCCATAGAAGCTGCGACGGTCGCTCAGTGGTGTTTAAAACGACACTCGCTCTACCCCCGGGAAAGAAAAACGCCGTGCCAGCGATGCTAAGACTCATTTTGAAAGTAAACATGAAGGAGCCTGTAGAGACGCTGAGAGTTTCTTACCTCGCGGACAGCGTGAGGACGGTGAGCTCCTTCCTGCCTCCTTTCTCCTCCATGCTCTCACCGAGCTGAACAGACTCCTTATCGAGCCCTGTTGGCGGAGAGGAAGTCATTATCGCCGATAATGGACTATCAATGAAGATTGACGTCACCGAAACGCTTCCCCACTACGGTCTCCTAGGCAACCGGTATGCTAATTTAGAGGTGACTGAACATTGGCCATCTCTAATGTCCTTCAGCGGGATCCGTAAACATAATTGGCCAATGGGGCGTTGAACTGTGGGGGTGGTGGGGGGGTTAAATCCTGCCGGGCCCAATCAAGTCCAAATTGAGAGGAAAAACGAGCTGTACTGAAAGAGCCAGTAATAAGCACCAGCCTTCTGCTTTATTTGCATTATGATACATAACATGTAGGCCTAATTTAAATATGGTAAAAATTACAACTATTATTTTAACTACTGGGAGCATGACAGGCTCTAGAGCTAATTGCAGAGCAGAAAGTGGGTGGTGGTTGTTAAAAGGAATGCAGATGAAACTGTTTCTTACAGAATCAGCGTCGCTGCTTCTCCTCTCCGGAGGGTTTTTCTTTTCTTTTTTTTCTGCAGTCGCTCTTTAAGCAGCGCCTACAGCGATCCCTTTCGGTTCAGTGAGGACTTCAACTAGCCGGAGAGAAAAAAAAAATGGCCCAGACAGCCAACAGCCCACATCTGCGTTTATACACATCTCAAAACGTCATTTATCACGGCAAATGCCTCTTGTACATTTTTCTTAACTGAGGGTAATTATGACTAAACATGTGCGCAGAGGCTGCCACAATAACCTGACGTAGTTTACGACCAAAATAAATAAATAAGAAACATACAAAAATAGTAAACTTTTAAAACCTGAATATAATATACAAGGTTGGCACAGAACTAATAAAATGCTATAAAAATGCTATGCTAAAATGATATGTAATAGTTTAGCAGTCTTATTACAATGCTAATGCAATAGTGTGTCAGCATGGAGCTTATTTAATGTTCTTGGAACAAGCATAAATATTCCTGTTTTATCCCATTCCTTTTTCATAGATTCACAATTAGTTTACATCTGTTAAGGTTTCTGCTTTGGAGCAGTTTAATACATATTTTCACTCAACGTTTTTATGACTTAAGCAGTTTATATTCTGCTTGTTTAATTCTCATAATAGCCATGATACTACGCACACAATATGGCGTTGAGGCAAACAGAATGAAATAAATGGGGATATCCCTGGCCACAGAGAGATCTATGTGTTTGAATGAAAGCGGCTTAGAGCCCCTGGTCGTGGCGGATTTGCCCCGCTTCATATGGTCTTAATCTGTCGGCGCTCGGGGCTTTGAGCTAAAGAAAAAGAAGAAGATCTGGTTTATTCCGGGATCTAAGGCGAAAACTGTCCGGCGCACAAATCAGTTAGCACCTGTCAAAAGTTACTCCTCCACTGCCCTGCTGCGGAGGACGGAGCCAGAGGCGCCCTCACGCACACTTCTGCTTTGGATTAAAACACACACTGCACTGCTGCACCAGCTCTATGTATGTGTGTGTGCGTGTGTGTGATTTTCCATGAGCGCAGCAATTATTCGCGTGCAAATCCTTATTAATCAATTGCACGAACACATACAGGTTAAAAATAGTGTTCTTCGTTGCCACCTACTGTCGACTCTGTCGAGTGGCCAATTCTTTAAAAATAATTGGTTTTTATCAAGACAAAATGAATGCAAAATAATAATCATAATAATCAACCCTAGAAGAGAAAAGAGCAGCGAAAAAGAAAGGAACACGTCACGTTTCTTTACTCCTCTTGAATTTTGCTATTCTCTCTCTCTCTTCTCTCTCTCTCTCTCTCTCTCTCTCTCTCAGAGAGTCCCGTTTGTTATTAATCAAGTGTGAAAGTGACGGCTTCTTCGCGTATTTAGAAAACGAGCAAAAGTTGGAGCTGCTTGCTTGCTTGCTCGCGCCGGTCCCGCGCTGAGATCGCCATCCAGGGGTTGAAGCGGCTCTCGCGCTCTAAAGCAATGAGGCTTGTTAGAGGCAAAGAGGAGGGGTGAAGGGGTGGGGTAGGAGGGTAGGAGGAGGAGAAGGAGGGGGGGTTGTTAGTGAATGTCTCTGTGTGAGTGTGTCAGAGAGAGAGAGAGAGGGAGGGAGAGGGAGGGAGAGAGAGAGAGAGAGAGAGAGAGAGAGAGAGAGGGAGAGAGAGCTGTAAGCCAGCGCAGGCTCGCCTTGCTTCTCCTCCGATGACTACACCCGAAAGGAGGAGCGTGAGGCGCGTAGTGGGCGTCAGAATCCTCAATTTCCAACTTAGCATCCTGGCAGGACACTCTCCGGAGCAAAAGCCCCGTCCGAAAAGCAGCTCCGTTCAAAAAAACAAAAAAAATAAAGGAGAAGCACCCCCCTTCCAAAACTGCAAACTTCTGCCCCGCGCGGCATGAGAGACGCGGCGCGCGCGGGCGGCCAAGCAGCGGCTCGAGAACTTGGAGCGGAGCTTGAAAAACAACAACAAAAACAAGAAGAAAAAGAGCAACAACAAACCCGGTGAAGCGGCAGTAGCAGCAGCGAGCTAGACGTCTATATGCATTCGATTCTCTCTCGAGCTCGCGCCGCCACCATCGTAGTCGCCAGGAAGAGGAGGACGGACGCGGTTCGGGACTCTATGAAAGAGAGCGGACCGCGCGCGAGAGAGTAACGGGGAGGAGGGGGAAAGGAAGGAGGGGTGAAAGAGAGGAAGAAAAACAGGAGAGGAAGAAAAAGAAAGGACAAGAAAGATAGAAAAGTGAGAAGCCCCCGTGCTTCTTTCTGAGCTCGGTTATGGCGTACCCTCAGGGCTACTTGTACCAGCCGTCCGCCTCCTTGGCGCTCTACTCGTGCCCTGCGTACAGCACGAGCGTGATCTCGGGGCCGCGCACGGAGGAGCTCGGCCGCTCTTCGTCGGGCTCCGCGTTCGCGCCCTACGCCGCAGGCTCCACGGCGTTCAGCGGCGCCTCGCCCGCGTACAGTTCACACCTCCCGTACGGCGCGGACGCGGCCGCCGCCGCCACCTTCACCTCGTACGTGGTGAGTGAAAGCCGGGGACCAGTTGGGAAAAGCGTGTAGGGGCCGTGGATTTTTATCTATATTGGTAGTAAAGAGAGGAGTTTTACCGTATTTCATTGTGCTGTTGAATAAGTTAAAATTACAGAGTCTACATTTATACAGAATACATATGTATTACTCATATAAGCAAGTAAGTGTGTGGTCATGCTTTAGTTAGTTAATATTGCGGCAAAAAAGAATGATTTCCTTAAAGAGGGGAAAGAAAACGGCAAAGAAAATCTGAGTACACCCTGTCTTGGAAAACAAAATTGAGCAAATGTTCAGCACCTATCATTAGCTCCTTTAGTTTGTATTTATATAGCGAAAAGCTACTGAAAAGAAGTGGGTAAAACTGCTGTTTTAAATGTAATGAGACACCCTGGTCTTTGCTTATATTTCAAGTACTATTATTGTTATTTTTAACAAGTAATTAATGCTGTAAATAATTTCAGAAATAATGTCAGTCTGTCAGTATGCTTACATATTATAGTTAGCGCTAAATTACTCATATTTATGATTGCACATTGCTTGAGAAAGACAGAGGGAGGGAGGGGAGAGAGAGAGATAGAGAAAGGCTGGCGTGTAAATAATGGGGTCAGTCTGCAGAGTAGAGAAAGTTGCGAAATTTATTTTAACCACAGCGGTCTGCTGGAGACATTTACTGTAAAATAGTAATAAAAAACTTTATCATATATGTATAGGTCAATATATGTTTGTTGTGTTTGGTCTGAATAATTAAATTAGCTGTGTGCATGTTTGAGTGTGCGATGGATGTGTGTGTGTGTGTGTGTGTGTGCGAGTGTGTATGTGTGTGTTAAGCTGCATGTGTTTCGTGAATTTACGTGCTTAGTAAGTTTTGACTGTCCGTTAAACTCCCACCGTACGTGCACGCGTGTTTTTGAAGGACACTCTCGCGCTAAACCCCACGTGGCTGAGCTTTTTTTTTGTCTTGCAGAGCTCTCCGTATGACCACACGTCGGGCATGGCGGGCTCCATCGGCTACCATCCGTACGCGGCGCCGCTGGGTTCGTACCCATATGGGGACCCGGCTTACCGGAAAAACGCCACGCGCGACGCCACGGCCACGTTGAAGGCCTGGCTGAACGAGCACCGGAAGAACCCGTACCCCACCAAGGGCGAGAAGATCATGCTGGCCATCATCACTAAAATGACCCTCACTCAAGTGTCCACCTGGTTTGCCAACGCCAGGAGGAGGCTGAAGAAGGAGAACAAGATGACCTGGACGCCGAGGAACCGCAGCGAGGACGAGGAAGAGGAGGAGAACATCGACCTGGAGAAGAACGACGATGACGATCCAAACAAGCCCGTGGACAAGGGGGACACGGACACGGAGACAGGTCTGTGGAAAATACAGGGGAGAGAAAGAGAGAGAGAGAGAGAGAGAGAGAGAGAGGGAGAGGGAGGGAGAGAGAAGGGAAAAAAATCATCAATTTTTCATCGGAGTCGTTTCCACTCCGGGCGCGAAATTGATTGCTGGTTAATGGTGGTATATTATTTATAATAGGACAATTGCTTTAAATAATAATCACCTTGAACTCATCTCATTTGACTTCTTACGGACTGAGAATTGCTGGTGACGTGTGGTGGTTTGCAGCACATTTATCTTTGGCTGCATAATAGGGGCACAGCTGGCGTGCTGAATCTCATTCATTACTACCTCATTATTATTATTATTATTATTATTATTATTATTATTATTATGCAGAATTGCAGGGATTCTTTAAATATGCTTTTCAAACAAAACATATCTATCATCTGCTGTTTTCTAGCTTGTGAAAATTCCATTTACATTACTAGCGTGAGGTTTTAATGTTTAATAACCGCAAACAGATTTCTTCTGACATCAGTTTGTAAACAGGCGGTTAAGAAGATTTAAATTAAGAAACCAGAGGGAGGTAAACAAACTGAGAGTCCTTTATTATTTTGACTCGAGCTTTTTTTTTTCTCTCCTCTGCTTATCAGACCCGAAGCTACTCCACCCAGGCGAGGCCCCGTGTGACCGGTTCAAGGCGGACACCCCCGGTAAAGACGTGGAGCCGCTGCTCACCGACGCGGAGCTGAAGGAGATGGACGCGCGCTCGGAGCTGCTCGGCGACCCCGCGCGTGCCACCACGTCGTCGCCATCGCTCGTGGCGGCGCGCGACAAGGCGCCTGAGGCTGCGGGAGTGGCGGTTCCTCGCGGTGCGAGCGTGCTCGGTGGCGGCGGCGGCGGCCAGGTGACCTCCGTGATCCATCCTCCTCCTCTTCCTCTTCCTCCTCCTCCTTCTTCTGGCGGTCCCCCCGCTGTTCCCCCTGCCCCGTCCGTGCCCAAACCCAAACTGTGGTCGCTGGCCGAAATCGCCACCTCGTCGGACAGGTGCAGAGGGAGCGGGGACGCGCCGCAGGCCGCGAGCCAGGCGCCCGGAAACCCGTCGCCCACGCGGACGTCGCCGCAGTGCGCGCCCTTGGCAGGCGGCGCCGTGCTCTCGCGCCCCCTCTACTATACCGCGGCCCCGTTTTACGCGGGCTACACGAACTACGGCACTTTCGGACACCTGCACGGACACAGCCACGGACACGGCACGGGCGCGGGAGCGGGCGGGGGCGCGAGCTCGGCAGCGGCGGCGGCGGCGGCGGTGGCGGCAGCCGCGCACTTCAATGGAATAAACCAGAGCGCGCTGAACCGGGCTGAGGCTCTAGCGCGAGACAGCAAGGGCAGAGGGCAAACGCAGCTAGATCTGTGTAAAGACTCCCCTTATGAACTCAAGAAAGGTATGTCCAACATTTAATACGGGAATTCAGCCTCCACTCTGATCTCACGGACTATTATTTATTATTTGTGGTTGCATAATTAAAAAAAGAAAAAAAAACAAGATGAAAAAAAGAAGAAGAAGAAAAAGATGATAAGAATAATACTGCTAAAGGAATTTCCCAGGACAGTTATTTTCTGAGTAAAATGCTTATCCTCAAATCTTAGTTTCTGAATGGTTAATCGAGATGTAACATCTAAGAATTGTCTTAAAACGCTGCAGCCGCCTGAGTCTATTTGTATTAAAGACTAATATGTATATTTAATGTAGCATTTTTTGTATTTAAAATGGACAATACACTATCTTTGAAGTAAATTATGAAAAAAAATACACGTGTGCAGCCGTTGTTTTGGGGTCATTTGAATGCTTGTGGATGAGGGCTTGGACAGCTGCACACAAAAACATGCATGCATTATTGCTTCTCATAGGTTTAAATGGTGAGGCCTTTTTGTGGCGTGAGTCGTTAGAGTTTTGGGGTTGGTGGTGTGCTACGATCATTCATCAGGAGCTGAAGAAAACACATGCACGTAGAGGCGGCCAGAGCTGAAATTCAGAGTTTTTTGTTTGTTTTCCTTGTGGAAGATCCCGTGTAAGTCGAGTCGGGCGTATTATGAAGCGCTCATTATTATTATAAACTTGCTTTGATGGGATGGATGGGGGGACAGTAGTTGGTATGTTTTACACATGGGGGGAAGTGGTTCAGCAGGTGAATATTGATACCCCCTCCCCTCAAAAAAAGGAAAGAAAGTGTCGAGCACTCGTTTAACCCAATTACACTCCAACCGCGTCGTGTTATATGCAAAGCAATCAGGTGGCGAACTCGGGTAATGAGCTCGATTTTATGCCAAATTTCGATCTCATTAATGCTTCCGAGGCGTGGCAGAGTGGAATGAGGACTGGTTTTGGAAAGCGTGCGGCTCTGTTTTAGCATTAACAGAGGGGAGGAGAGGGCTCCCCCAGCCTTAACGGCGCGGTGGAATATGGGCGTGCGGAGTGCGGCGCTGGTGCCGTGACCTGCAAAAAGGGAAAAATGCCCTGTGACACAGCTCGCGCCTGTAAGGCAGCTCTAAAGCTCTTCCCTCCTCCGCAGGTAGGTGTCACACTTGCTCCTCGTTTCGGCCCCTGCGTTCTTGAGCGCACGCGGAGAATGAGCCTCTCTCAGGTGTCAGGAGAGGAGAGCACCTCTGGCACAGGGAGCTAAGACTGAATACATCACGAGCTTGTTTTGGGGTCGAATGCTTTGGTTTATTCGGTCTGAGAAGTTTTTTGTTTTGTTTTTTTATGTTTGTTAAAGATTTTTAAACCTTAGTTTACCATCGCCCCATTATTATTATTATTATTATTATTATTATTATTATTATAAGTAGTAGTAGTAGTAGTAGTAATAGTAGTAGTAGTCGTAGTAGTAGTAGTAGTAGTGTTAGACACATCATTAAACCTATATTATTATTATTATTATTATTATTATTATTATTACAGTGCAAAGTAAGTACGTAGTCATCTAATCTTGCCAAAAAACTCACAATAACACATTTTAGTATTAGTGTTTTTAATTTACCACTAAACGAATAACATTTTTCGATCTGAATATTTTTAGTGTTTTTGAATATCTTAATTTTCTGCAATAGCCTCGCTGGCAATTTACATTTTGCCACCTCAGGCTTGCATTTGTGGTTTCAGTTTGGATCTTATTGGTCGCCCTTCATCAGAATCAAGACGGCGGCCTAGATTGGAGAGAGGCCTTTAATGAGCTCATCACT